GGAATTAAATTTGAATTTTTCCCGGTTGGTGGCCCAAGCCTACTCTTATCGACTTTGGACCACCAATGGTTCTTTAACTGCACACGGGTCCTCCATAATTTTTCGCCCTTCCCCGAGCGAAAAAGCCAAGCGTTAGATCTTACCTACCCTATGATCAAGGGTGTGGCTGAAAGACAGCAGTAAGAAGGAGCCATGCAGTAGCAAGAGAATGGTGGAAGAAAGAGTCAGGAGCCCAGAGTAGGGGTAAAGGAGGGTGGGGGTGGGGGCAGAAAGTGGAGACGAAAGCAGATGACAAAACATAGCCAGAGAGCGGGAAAGAGGGGGTGAAAGGAGAACAATTCAGAGAAAAATATTATCTAACATTGCTGTCAGGTTCTGAATCCGGGACCCACTGAATAGTGAATGAGAGGCGAACACCGTTACCTCTACACCACAACAGTCCCCAAGAATAACTTTGAGGGCACCTATATTCTGTCCGCTGGCGAGAATAGCTCATGACCCGATATTCTCACCTCCACCCCGGTGTGGGCATGAGGCGAGGACTCTCGCAGGCCGATACAATCACCTTGGACCTTGGTGGCTTTTGCCGCATGGGGTTGGGAAATGACTCACGAGTGCTTGGCGCTTGTTTCTTCAGGTAGAATTACTACTGATTACCGTTGCCATCGCCTTAATTTGTTGTTTTTTCAAATAAAAAAATCTTCTTGAAATTCGGCTATAATCAATTATGAGTAACGGTAGGTATCAGAAAAAAACAACGCTCTGCTCTTGACATTTCATTCCATAGTGTAGCTCGTTTTTTCTGGGGGTTTTTCACTATTGTTAGCTGTTGATGATGTAAAATGGCCTTCAACCAGCCCATTAAATGATAATAATAAAAAGCATTTTTATAGCGCATATCCCCACTCAAAAGCAAGCTTTATTTGCTTTACACTATATCATTATTACCCCAGCAGACCATAGAACACTCAAAAACATTCTCAGCCTCCCAGGAAGCATAACAGTGCGAGCAGCTGGTTAAGCGCTCAAACACAAAAAAACTGACAAGATCTTTCACTGTCAAAAGCTGAGTACCCATTTTCACCTGGGAGAAATGGGGAAAATTCGTGTAAAGTGCCTTTCCCAAGGACACAACGTCAGGCCCACTGCTCGAAGCCCCGAACCCGCAACCTCACGATTTCGAGTCCGGTAGCCTACCACCAAAATAAACCAAACCTGAAACGTACCTAGGCTTGCACGACTTATAATATGTGCTGTTCTGTGTGTATCTGTACGTGCTATAGGCCTACTGTATATATAGAACACATGTTGGATTGATGGGCACATTTAAAGTAGAGCCTGTCCATGACTGTGTGACCACTTGAACATTCAAGAAGTCATTTGTCGACAACATTACATCTTCAGATTTCCCCATCTTCAGCACCACACCATGAGGCTGGAGAGGCAAAGCTCAACCCAAGTGTAATAGAGCCATTCAAAGTGAATTGGTGGTTAAGTACCTTTTCCAAGGACAGACAGAATCCCCTTCAAACCTTTGACTAGAATAAAAACCAGTCACCTATTGGTTAAAGGCACTAAATGAGGACCAGCACGTCAAAATGAGTCATACTGGAGCTAATATTTTTTTAAAAGAATGGGCTTAAACTCAAAATCAAAGTCTGGTATTTATTTATTTTTTTACTGTAGAAAGTAAACGTTTTAACTATTTTGCCACCCAACAGAAACATTCTAAGACTTGCCTCCGATGCTTTAATTTCATACCATGAAGTTCGATCGTAGGGTTTCGAGTTACGACTCATTTTGACCTACTCGTCCTCAAATGTGTATTATTTATTATTACATCACTGTCGCAACTACAGCAGTGATTGGACCTTGAAGACGATACAAGCGGAAGTCAAGAAGAGAAAAAAAAGGCAAAGAAAATAACTGTACATATTTATTGTAAAACAAAATACAAGTACACTGAGTACACAACCGTACATTGCTAATTGACATGTAGATTTTCCAAAATGACTGTTGGGGTCCTGTATTAGCTATACACTTTTGTTATATGTGTTGTATGCTTCAAAAATACTTGAATCGGAAAAACAACAAATCAAACTCTTCAGATTGAGTTCCCCTTTCAACACAAGCTAAGTCATGTAAGTGCAAGCAAGAGTTATCACCTAAGCTTTAAACATCCACCTGTGATAGGACTTTGAGTTCCCCATAAGTGAGGAGTTCAGTGCCTTAAAAAACCCGGAACAAGGTTAAAAATTTAAAAAAAAAACATTTGAGCCCAAGAGGCAAGTGATTAAATTTAAACTTACTATTACATTATCGCATGTTCCAACCAAGAACTGTGTTTGAACACAATATTTTAATACCATCAGCGCAGGGATACTGCAAAATATACAAAATTTAAAAGACAAAAAATTGCCAAAAATTAAATAAATTAAAACTTACCAAAACCAAAGAGTAGACCTACAGCAGTCCTTTTCTACCAGAAAGCAGTAATTTCCTTTGTAGACTAGTTAGAGATACGCGATGTCAATAAAATGATCTAGTAAACTGAAGTACTCATTATATGAAGATACCGATAGAACAAGCTGTGAAAAAAATAACTAACCAAAAATAATAACAACAACAACAACGAAAGAACAAAACAAAACCGATCAAACCACGCACGCACACACACACACGCACACCTTAGTGCTGGCATCCTGTAGTAATATAGAGAAGGATATAACTTCTGTTGCGACAAAAAACAGAGTGTTATTCCACTATTACAGAAAAACTTGTAGCAAATGTATGTACAAAAAATACAGTACTATACACAAGAACCTGAGTAGAGACACCGCATAAAATAGATACCACAAGTGAACATTTCAAAGTCCTTGGATGTAAAAGCAATTTTTGTACCAAGATAGGGCTCGTTGAGCTGAAAATAAAGGTGTCTTTGACTTTTGTGTAGCTTGGAAAGTAAAGTTTGTATAACGGTTTAAAGAATCACTTATTTTTCCAATGTGCTCGAAGGTTCACTTTCGCCAGTAATATCTTGTTAAGTGTATGTTCCACCTTGATGCCACAAAGTACCCATGCAGTCCAGCATATTGTTATTTGAGTTGCAAAATATCAAAGCAATGTCTGTTGTAGTTATCAAGATACTGGCTTTTAGATTTTAAAAACAATTAGTAGCGCAACATGAATATGACCCCAAAGTATCAGATGGATCAACCTTGGTATACTCAACCCCCACTCCTCCGCAAACTAATAAGAAAAACATGCCTCACAAAACCGAATAATGATCTTTTCTTAGAACTGTATCCAACACATTCAAAATGAAACCAGATCAGACACCCCCTCACACTGAACCATTCCCATTTCTGAGTCATCAAGCTTTTTGCCATTCCTCCTTGGCCATCGACAACCAAACGCTAAAGGAACTCAAACACTACACTTGCGTTCAACACAATATCATTAACACATATGGCTTGTCAAAATTAAGAGCTATCAACTGCCTACCAATAGATCTACAATATGTACCAGCATTGAGTAACAATGTTGTCTTCTCAGACCCTGACAGCTCAGCATAGGAGATTTGCGGCCACGCTTACCCTGGGACTTGGTGAATTACTGTTTGGTGCTGGGCCTGTACCGATGCTTAATAAGTCGGGTAATCAGAGGCCAAGAACATACCTCAGTATCTGAACCTACAGCCTCTTCCCAGCTAATTCCTGCCACGTCCCTACTACCTCATGCCCATTCCAAGCACCATCTACAAAGCATATACCTCACTTCCTGCAGTTTCTCCCCAAATTCCATCTCACCACAAATCACCAAAAAGTTTACCATCTGATCAGTAATCTGCCCAGCTGTCTCATATATATACCTTCAGCTGAACGAAAAAAAGACTTTCCAGTACAAATAGAAACAGTCTGTACAGAATCCACTTGACAACAATTTGCTTCTGCCCCACTCTGAATGTTGACAAGTTTGGAATAATCTGGAATCAGATCATCTTCAACAATGTCAACATTCAAATATCTTCTGGTCACGAAAATGTGACAGGGCAGACGCATCATATGACGTAAGGAGCTGCAAGTGCACGACATAATAATTTGTAGTCGTGTAGCTCTTGCCACCATAGGTGACCACAAAGTTACCAGCACTTGCCCCTGAGGATGTGTCATAGTCAGTGGATTCGGACAGCGCCTACAGCTTTTATACAATCTCCCCAGTAATTTTGGACATGCTAGACGTTGTTATATGCCTCTTTTTTAAAGTGTTTTACGGCGCTCTCAACCGCATAAGGTCGTATGAGCGCGCGGGACACACCTAATACTTTTTAGTTGGTAGGAAATTTTGAATTTTGCCCGGGTGGCGGCCGAAGCCTACTCTTATCGATTTTAGACCACCAAGGGATCTTTAACGGGCGCAACTTGCACACGGGCCCTCCGAGATTTTTCGCCCTTGTCCGAGAAGGCTAGGTGTAGATCTTTCCTACCAGAAGATCAGGGGTGTAGCAGAAAGACAGCTGTAAGAATGAGTCAAGGAGAAGCGGTAGAAAGGCTGCAGAAAGAGTCAGGAGCCCAGAGGAGGGGACAAAGGATAATGAGGGGGTGGGGGCAGAAGGAGGAGACGAAAGTAGACGACAGAATATTGCTAGAGAGCAGGAAAGGAGGTGAAAGGAGACAATTTTAGAGAAGAAAATTGTTCGGTCGCTACCCGGATTCGAACCCGGGACCTTTGAACGAGAAACCAACACCTTAGCCTCTAGGCAACGAGAGCCCCCATTATATGCCTCTGCAGAGGTGTAGAGTCAGACAAGTCGTATGTGTGGGCTTTAGTGATTTTGGAGTCCTTGAATTGTACTCCAGGGTTTTGCTCAAGGACAGCTTCTCGTGCAACGTTTTCTTTATTTTGGCATGATAACTTTCAAGAGCATTTGTTGTGGTAGCATGCAGTTTCATTACGTTCATATTGCAGCAAGGTGCCCACAGGTGGGTTTTTTTTTACCACTAATGCTCTTGAATGTAACCAGCTAAAGACTCAGGAACGATATTCTTAAGCTCACGACATGTCGGTTCATCAAACTTAGCCTCTGATTCTGTCATGACCTGCGCCATAAACATGCCAAGGACAGCTTTCACAGCACCAGGCTCCCTCCCCATCAATTTCCGTACCTGGTGCTCCACATCCTGTGAAATATGGAAGAGACATAACTTCACTGACACATCCGGGAATACAGACCCAAAGGCAACAAGCTCTGCCTTGTCTTTGTAGATGACAAATCATTCAGTCTGGCTACTGTCATACTGCTCTGCCAGCAGCAGCAGGCACTAGGTCATGATATTTGCTTGTCCTCACTGGACAAAAGTGCACAACACACAGACATTCCATGACCTTCATCCTCCAATACCATGACAGTCAACAAAGGATATAAATACTGGTTGACTTTATAAGTGCAATCCATGAGAGGAACACAAGGGAACTTTCGCTAAGTATCCCCCATAGCTCTTGTCTGGAAGGCACAGAAAATGAAAGCCCCAGTATCGCCATCCTTTGCCAACTTGCCATCGCCACCATCTGCTACAATGGCATTGAACAGAAGCCCTCAATTAATGTCTCTATCCCACGACCCATCACCTGCCCATCTAATTTATGCTCATTGTTGAAGACGTCTCTCATCATGACGGAGGCATAACGTCGCCTCTCCAGCAGCTCCGGTTTCTCTGACATTTTCATCTTGCATGATAACAACAAAGTTTCGTCCACCTCATCCTGCACAGACCGGCGCTGTTTATGGCTCAGCTGGAAAATCTGCGACAGGTAGAAAAACAGAAAAGAAAATTGACCAGCCTTAGGTCATTAGTACAAGGGTTTTTTAAAATTCTTATTTTGTATTTTCTTTCTTTCTTTTTTTTTCTTTTTTTTTTTTCTTCTTTTTTTTGGGAGGGGGGGGGGGGGGGGGGGGGTAAGTGTTTTACGTGCTCGCAACTGTGTAAGAGCGCGCAAGACACATTGAACATTTTCAGGTGGCAGGAAATTTGGAATTTTGTCCGGGTGGCGAAGCCCACTCTTATCGATTCTAGACCACCAAGGGATCTTTAACGTACGCAAAGTAAACGACAGAACATTGCTAGAGCGTAAGAAAGAAGATGAAAGGAGACAATTTTAGAGAAGAAGATTTTTCGGTCGCTACCCGGATTCGAACCCGGGACCTTTGAATGAGACGTGAACACCTTAACTTCTATGCAACCGAAGCCCCCCGCCCCCCCCCCCCCCCCCACACGCAAATATATATGGATGGATATATATATATATATATATATATATATATATATATATATATATAATCATTTTGTAAGTGTATAAGCATTATTTGTAAGTGTTTTACGGTATGAGCTCGCGTGACACATTACATATTTTCAGTTTGTAGGAAATCTTGAATTTTGCCCGGTTGGCTGCCGATTCCTACTCTTATCGATTTTAGACCACCAAGGGAACGTTAACGTGCGCAACTTGCACACGGGACCTTCGAGATTTTTCGCCCTTGTCTAAGAAGGCTAGGTATAGATCTTTCCTACCAGGAGACCAGGGCCGTGGCTGAAAGACAGCAGTAAGAAGGAGCCAAGGAGTAGCGGTAGAAAGGCAGCAAGAAGAGTCAGAAGCCCAGACGTGCAGAAAGTGGAGACGAAAGCAGAGGACAGAAAATTATAGAGAGCAGGAAAAGAGATGAAAGGAGACAATAATATTTTAGAAAGGAAAATGTTCCATCGCTAACCCTATTCGAACCCGGGACCTTTGAAAGAGACGCGAACACCTTAACCTCTATGCCACGAGAGCCCCCAGTATAACTTTTATAAGGTAGGCCTATGAAATAAAAAAGGTGGAAACAGTCCACTAAGTATTAATTTCAGAATGCAGAAGATATGACCCATTCTCAAAAGGTACTAGAAAAATGGACACATACTGAATTTCTTTGAAAGCTTCTTCGGCAATCTCAGCCCATAGAACACTGGAACCTGAAGAAATGTGTCCACACAGCCTTCTTGGGTTCAATTAAATGACAAGGTTGTATAATTTATTATTTCTGCATCCTTCTGAAAACAGTTTTTTTGTTTTTGTAAAGTGTTTTAAGGCGCTCGCAACTGCATAGGTTATATGAGCGCGCGGGACACACCTAATATTTTCAGTTGGTAGGAAATTTTGAATTTTGCCCGGGTGGCGGCCGAAGCCTACACTTATCGATTTTAGACCACCAAGGGATCTTTAACGTGCGCAATTTGCACACGGGACCTCCGAGATTTTTCACCCTTGTCCGAGAAGGCTAGGTGTAGATCTTTCCTACCAGAAGATCAGGGGTGTGGCAGAAAGACAGCAGTAAGGAGGGGCCAAGGAGTAGCAGTAGAAAGGCTGCAGAGAGAGTCAGGAGCCCAGAGGAGGGGGCAAAGGAGGTGTGGGGGTGGGGGCAGAAAGTGGAAATGAAAGCAGACAACAGAACATTGCTAGAGAGCAGGGAAGGATGTGAAAGAAGACAATTTTAGAGAAGAAAATTTTTTGGTCGCTACCCGGAATCGAACCCGGGACCTTTGAATGAGAGGCCAACACCTTAACCTCTAGGCCACGAGAGCCCCCTGAAAACAGTAACAAAGCCAAAGAAGAATAAACTCCAAGGTTGTGATACAAGATCTGCCATTGCTTCGGAGCGAAACGCAATTTGAATTCTGTTGAAAATTAGTGAAATCTCTTTGAAAAGTACACTTTCAACTTCATTGGTTTACTGTGCAGTAAAAACATGAAAATGACATTAACCTCCTTTGACAACGGATGATTGTGCTCGACTTCAAGGTTGGAGACTTTCAGTACGTGATTTTTTTGTTTTTGGTTGATGTGACAATGATGTGAGCAGGGCAGTCAATTGTGTATAATCTATAACACATAACATGAAGAACAATTGGTCGCTTTAAAGAACAAGCGGGCTAACCCACATATCGGGGGATTGGGGGGGGGGGGTGTCCAGAAATCTTGACCTACACCAAAAGTGGGTATTGCTCTACCTATAGGAGAAGTTTGGTTTTATTTGTGTGTATATTTGTTTGATTATAGGGAAAAGGAAAGCTCTCCTTGTCTTTTAAAGAAATTGAACAATGGGCAAAAACTTCTTAGATTTTTATCAAAACAGCATTTTTCGGGATAGCGCCCTTGTGCTTTAAAGTGACCAATTTAGGTACACATCTGAAGTCTCGAAATGAATAACAAAAATTGTACGTAATTTTGTTTATGAGAAAAGATATGCATAGGTCCCAGGCCTGAACACGTAAGACAGTAAGAAAAAATTCGTCAAGTGTCTGAGGCCTTGGCGAGAAAAAAGTGAGTATGGATCCGAGGCCTAGCCGTGGATGAAACATTAGGTATAGGTCAGAGGCTTAGACACTAAGTACTAAGACACGAAGGCCAAAAACAAATTTGGAAAAAGCACAAACCTGGGAAATAGAAAGAAGAAGAGAACGGGAAGATGAAAGAGTAAGAGTGAGAAAGTGTCTGGAAATACATTTGTTACGAGGTTGAATGAGGAGAAAAATGAAAGTAGGATAAAGAGGAAGGAGCCAGAAGCGGGGGAAAATAAGATTTCAGAAAAAAGTAGCATTACAGTCAACAAAGCAACAATTCTGATCTGAAAAGGAGAAGATCTTACCTCCGCCGACATCTCTCCTTTGCCCCCACCGTGTTTATTAGTGTGGCCAAGCACACGGTAGACCAGTGTGACCAAAAAATTGTCGCTTGACGGCAGCTTCTCTGTTGATTTTGTAGTAAATTGGGAGAAAGTTTCCGTTTGGCACTGTTCCAGCGCAGATGAAAGATCTATGTTTAAAAGCTATAGTTGGAGAGAATGTCAACACACTGAAATATTTTGATGCTCGTTTTGACAACCACTGTTTCTCTGACCACCTCATAACTGTAAAGAAACGATTCAAAGTGACCACAAGGGCGATTACAATACCAAAGTCGCAGAGTGCAATAAAAGCAAAGGAAGTGTTTGTTGATAATGAGGTAAACAGACCATGTTTAATCGTTTTAAAGCTCTAAAACTTAAAGCGTGAGGCCCGAGGCGAACGCATTTACGACAACGACCCCCGAAGTTGGTGAGCTGTGTATTTGGCCAAGCATGCAACACGCTTCAGCAGACTGGGGGTGAGCGAAGGCTAGTCTCTCGTTGCAACACCAGCGACCATACTTTTAATAGCAAATAACAAACAAAGAAAAACAAATAAAAAGGGAATTAAACAAAACATATTTGAGGATGATTCCAATCTCCAAAGCCTTAAAACAACGAATAAGAACGACAACAGAGACGCCTAAGATAATATATTTGCAAACCGAAATGATAACCACTTCTATTTACTAGATATGAAAAAAACCTAAGTGAATTGATTATGGATTTGAGATTTGGAAAAAGTCCAATTGCAACTTTTAATCATTCAAAATGAGGAAGGAGAGACTGAAAACTCATATCATGGAATAACTATCGACAACAAGCAAGCTGCTTCTGTGCATAAAAATTAAAATTAAAGAATGTTGTTTTTAAGAAAATTGAGAAGTTTTGATATTGATAATAAGATTGTGCCCCCTTTTATTTTTACAATTCCACGATTGAAAACGTGTTGCTGTTTTGTGTTAGCAGCTGGGCAGGAAACCACAAGTGCAGACAAAGGAAGTTTGAGCGAATCAGAAAGTCAGCATGATTTTGATAGCACCAATGAACTACATAAAGTAAAAAGTATATATATATATATATATAAATACATTAATATAATTATATAATACACATATAACATAATATATTGTGTGTATATATATATATACATAGAGAGAGAAAGAGAGAGGGAGAGGGAGAGAGAGAGAGAGAGAGAGAGAGAGAGAGAGAGAGAGAGAGAGAGAGAGAGAGAGAGAGAGAGAGAGAGAGAGAGAGTAAAGAGATAGATTAACAGCATTTTTTAAAGACCAATCACACACACACCCTATTAAAACAAATTTTAATCTTCAGATCTCAAGCAGATACATACCATGAAATACCAACAAAGAAGAATACAATATTAGTTTTTTTTGCCATAAAGTTGCTGCCGAAATATACTTTCATTTAGTGTATTGTTATTGCATCAATGCATATATATAAGAAAATCTATATAACTTTTATATTCTTACTCTGTGATAAATCCCCGCATGTGATTTTAGATATGCATCTGATTTGACGAGATAATATTATATAATTGTCAACTATGATTTTCCTCTTCATATTGAAATTATATTATGAAAGAGGTGCAAATTTAACTTGTATGTCTATCTACATGTGTTTTACATTCCTCAAAAGCCACGAAACAGGGATTTATTTATAGGACTGTCTGATCTTATCTGATCTGATCTGATCTGATTTTGTCTTATCTTATCTGGTCTGATCTTATCTGGTCTGATCTTATCTTATCTTAAAGTTGCCTAGTCATAGATGTTTTGTCAGCTTTGCTAGGATCATTAAAAAGAATTACTTCTGTGATCCCTAACACTATTATGGGCTGACTCGTGAACCTCTTAATAATAATCATATCTTCACCTGCAGGGCCGCGTTACCCGTAAGGCTGTTTAGGCTGTAGCCTAGGGCCCCGCGCCTCAGGGGGCCCCGCGCTTGCAAACACGACGTTTAAAAAATGTTTTTCAACAACAAAGAGTGTCCTCTTGTTGAATTGTTGTTGTTGTTTGTTGTTTGCATTGCTGTTGTTTTTACAGTTGTTGTTGTTGATGTTGATGTTGATGAGAAGGATGTTGATGCCACCGCTGTTGCTGTTGTTGTGGCTGCTGCTGATAGGTTTCGGCTGCCTCATACTTTGTAACAGAAATAGATCTATAAATGTGCTTGTCGTCGTCTTAAACCACCTTTTTGGTGGATACCGGTAGGTCTACATCTAATCACGTTTTACAGTATAGCTTTCCATCAGTACGGGGTTACAATGAGGTAGTAGTAGCATCAACGTCATCGAGGGGCCCCGGCCCCGCCTCTCATGGACAGCCTAGGGCCCCGCACTTAGTTAACGCGGCCCTGTTCACCTGCCCCTCCTTTTTTAGTTTTATAATAATGATAATAATAATAATAATGATAATAATAATAATAATAATGATAATAATAATAATGGCAATACTACTACTACTACTACTACTACTACTACTACTACTACTACTACTACTACTACTACTACTACTACTACTACTACTGCTGTTGCTACTACTACTACTACTACTACTACTACTACTACTACTACTACTACTACTACTACTACTACTACAGTTACTACTATTAATAATAATAATAATACTACTACTAATCTTACTACTACTACTACTACTACTACTACTACTACTACTACTACTACTACTACTACTACTACTACTACTACTACTGCTGCTGCTGCTGCTGCTGCTGCTGCTACTGCTGCTACTACTACTACTACTACTACTACTACTACTACTACTACTACTGCTGCTACTACTACCACTACTACTACTACCACTACTACTACTACTACTACTACTACTACTACTACTACTACTACTACTACTACTACTACTACTACTACTACTACTACTACTACTACAACTACTACCACTACTACTGCTGCTGTGTCCATTACAAGCTAGAGCTTTACCCCAGAATAAGACCCGGTAACGCTCTGAAACAATCTCAATTCCGGGGATACAAACTGTGCAAACTGGCGCTAAAACACTTACATACTGACAACATACTAACATAAATTGGTACTTCTGTCCCCTGCTCCTCCCTTTAATATATTATCAAGAACACTTAACCCCATACCACCACGGAGGTGCTAACAACCAAAAGGTAAATATTGCCTGGTTAGGAATTCCAAGCACAGTTATCTCCGCCTTACTTCAGAATACTACTAACTCGCTACCTTGTAATTACAAAGTTCTATCTGACATTTTTGTCCGTTTTGAGTCACCAAAACCATGACGTCTGAAACCAAATGCTATCTGCTCTATCAACATCGTAATATTATTCGGAGTCGTTATCAAGATACTCAAAAGAAATGTGTTCGAAAAAGCTTAAAATGATGAAAAGCTCAAAACATTTTTTACGTCAAATTTCCCAAACCTAGGTACTGAGCAGATACAACTTTGTACTTCTAGGGTACCAAACTGAGCCGTCGACATCCTTAATTGTTTGGAGCAGATGGATAAGATATTGCCAGCTCTCACTAAAAGATGGCCCAGTCCCGCTGGTTACAATATTGCGGAACATCCCTTTGTTCCCCTGATGTTCATCCGGTATCTGCACCGCTGACCTTTGTCTAAACAGCCTGGCTGAAGGCATTCTGGAGTGTTTTGCAAACACCGCAACTCTTCAACCCTGAAAGGCCCCTATCTCCTACCATATCAAAGTTGGCACCTGTTGCCATGGAGACATAGGACGATTACAACAATGGAGAGCTGGATTTTCTTTTCACCGAAAGGGCCATGAAAATGTTAGGATTTGAGAAATAGGTATTAGTTCAAATTTTTTTGAAGAGACATAATAATTCTAAGGAAAAAAAACTACAGAAAAACAGTATTTAATAAATAGATGTAAAAATAACAAAAGCGTAATGAAAGACACATCATTTTTATTGAGTAAACAATTAAACGTTAATTATAGGTAAATACACAATTATGGCAAAGGAACTAAGGCTGTGAATTAAGAGACAGTAAAAAGAGTAACTTGTTTAAAAAGTCGGTAATTGATTTGCTTTCATTCAAAATCATGACAGTAGATGCCATCAATCAAAATCAGTATCAACTTAATTAAATAAAATGCACAGAAATGAAAAACTGCGACTTTTGTAGCCAAAGTAAATTTAGTTTACTGTGCTTACCTTAACATTTTCATTGTTGACGTTCAGCGTCGAGGGGAGATGCAGATTTCTATGGTAGGTCAGCTCTGCAGCTCTTTCAACTTGGATAATATAATCTAACTACATAACTAACATAACATCAATGGAAGTAGAACACAAATTCAGAGAAACGCTATTTTCGGTTGCGTAGATTTCTTCTTTTTTTCCAGCTCGTGCTTCTAGTTTTGCTTTTTTACAGTAGTGACTGTGCTGAGCGTGCGGGCATTGGCCTCACGCAGAACTGTGACTTATCACCTTCATCGCAATAATTTAAAATTAGAAGAAGAAAACGAAGTGCTCCCTAACTCTCCTCCCCTTCCTCTCCCAAGTCCAGAAAAATACACACAAAGAAGAAAAACAATCATAAATGAGCGAAAACAATGTTGTGAATTAATAAGCGGAGAAAGTGGGCATTGCCACTAAGAACAAGGGTTGGTGAGGGCATCATTAATTTCTTGGAGCCGGTGGGTGGTGATTAGGTGACTATGTACTAATTAATTCCTATAGACAGCCACATTTTATAGTTTGACGGAATGAGTGTGCAACTGTGAGTACTGTGGGTGGTGATTAGGTGACTATGTACTAATTAATTCCTATAGACAGCCACATTTTATAGTTTGACGGAATGAGTGTGCAACTGTGAGTACTGTGGGGGGTGATTAGGTGACTATGTACTAAT